AAGCCTTTCTCTTACTATTCGGTTCTCGAGGAACCAAGATGTCTTTAGCTGATGTAATCCTGCCCTTGAACATCACAGTATCATGGGACCATTGAGATCCCAGCTGTGACAAGAGGCAAAAATAGAGTTATGTTTCAGCATGTCATAGCCTGCCTTTAGGCAAGAAGACTAGGCCTAATCATAATTTAATTGTGAAATGATTTTTCCCTAAAATTATATAGAATGGCTCCCAACACTTGACCTCACAGACTTGGCAGGTGGTATCTGACCCAGGCTGGCTGGAACATAGCTGTATACTTCTCTGACACAGAACTTGTTTAGCTTCAGAAAGAAGATTCCACTACAGTAAAGAAGATAAGAGATGCCAGGATATGTATTTCTGGCTAGATTTGAATCTAAAATGATAAAATCTTTGGAGTTTTTCTAAGAATTGAGTTAAAAAGAGATGATCAAAATTCCTTTTTCCCTCGCTTAGCCAATTTCAACAGAATCTTATAGCAATTGCTACAAAATTGTGTGTGTGTGTGTGATATTGGGGATGGAACTCGCACCTTTGTGCTTGCAAGGCAGGCAGTGGAACCACTGAGCCAAAGCCCTGGCCCCCAAAATATCTTAATTGATATAAAAAAGACTCAGATTAAATAGTGAATTTTTCGAAATAAGGAGTGCTTTCTCAAATATTTGCTCCTGCATAGTGTTTTGAACTTACATATGTATAATATATGTAATTCCATAAGCATACTACATGACTTGAAAGCTTGTCAATAATATGGATTGAACTCATTTTGAAAATTAGCTAAACCAAAATTCATGCTAAATGTACTTCAAATTACATAATTAGATTTAACTTTGCAGTGAGTTGAATTTAAATGTCTTTATTTGAAATAATACACTCTAAAAATGCAAATGTTGTAGATACATCGATAGCAAAGGAAGAAGTAAATTACTTCTATCTCTCCTACTCCTTTTCCTTTCAGAACATGAAAAAGACCAAGCTTTATGACCAATTTGCTGTGCAAGATTTCTTGCTATGAACTAGCAAACTATATTACAAGGATCATTGACTTAGAAATGGGAAACTTGGCAAACTATGTGTTTGAATAATCCTTGAGTATATTCTCAGAATCAGGCCTGAACTCTCTTATGCATGCTTGGAATATATTAAATAATATTGCCTTTTGACATCTACTTTATTAAAAAGAATGGGAACTATAAGCACAGGTCATTTCTGGACCATCTGTCACTCCTTAGAAAATATTCTGAGGATACTGGGGACTGATCAGAGGTTCTGGTCATGTGATATTATTAGTAAATATTATTCTAGATAAAGTCGGTGGGTATTGTGATGGGTAAAATATTTTCCTAGGTGTTATGTATTATTAAAATTATCTCAAAGAATTTACTCCACTGCTTTTATGAATCATTTGAGTGGAACTGAGGAATACATGCTATATATTCCACAAGGCCCCTTCAAGCTCCAGTTTCTTTGAAAAGACACAGACTAATAAAACATTATTTACAAATACAGGTGACTGGTTAGGAGCCCAAGTTTATAAATCCCTGATCTAGACAATTAACAAGTAATTTTTCCCCCAAACCCTTCTCAATCCTAGATTGTTTTGTACTGAAAAGAGGATTAAAATAGGGATTCTGGATGACATGCTCCAATTATGACTTCTGTAATTACTAGACATTCCTGGCCAGAATGTTTTGGGAAGCCTTACTGATATGTATCTTATTTCAATCATCATATTTGGTATTTAACATGTGTTAGCTAAGAGCTAACAAGATTGTGGTTGATGATGTACTTCATGTTGTACAATATTTTAACAATTAGTCATCAAAACCTCTATAGCCTTAAAAGGTGGAGATCAGGTAAGGATTTAGGTCAAGAGGACTATCTTTCTGGTCTGTAAGGAAGACAAGGAAAAAAACCTGTTCTCCAACATGATCTTGGAAGTGCTTACAACACTCATGGCACAGGATTCTGCAGAGTAAATTTAATAATCGGTAAATAAATCAATAGTTTAATTTTGATTCAGTGGGTATGGTCAGGGGGATTTAGGTCTATACAGAAGTCCAAGGAACTTAGGGTCAAAAACAGTCAACAATTGGGAGTCTAAGAAACTGGAGAGTACAATTAGATGATAAGAAATGAAAGTCTGACTGCACTCTCTGTGACTGCTCTGCAAACCCTGGTCAGCTTCTTTCTTATTCAAGAGTTTCTTCTAATGAACCAAGGGTGTGTTTGTCAGCTCTTGTTTTATAAAACTTAAAGGTACAGGTAAATCATAGCACCTGACACACAGCAAGTACAGATGAAATAAAATGTTGCCATACAGAGATCCTTTGAGTTTATGATTTCGATGACTAAAGAGAATATGGGTGTTAGTCAGCTTTCTGTAGCTATGAAAAAACATGCCTCACATAGGCAGTTTAACAAGAGGAAATTTTATTTGGCCCGTGGTGTCAGCAGTTTCAGTAAATGGTCACATGGCCCTGTTTCTTTGGCCTATGGTACATTGTGGAGCAGAATTGCTCAGCTCATAGCATATGGGAAGTAAGCACAGAGAGTCTCAATGTCCCTTTCAAAGACATCTAGGGCACACCCCCTCCATGTCTCAACTTCCCACCATGAGGGCTCACCTCACATTGCCACTATGTCCCAATAGCACCATCAGCCAGAAACCACACTTTCAATACATGAACGTTGGGGGAATATTTAGGAATCCAAAATACACTGAATATTTAAAATGGAAAAATAACATTGCAAGCACTTATGAGGCTAAGGCAGGATGATCACTATGAGTTCAAGGCCAATGTGAGCTATAATAGTTGAGTTCAATGCCAGCCTGAATTACATAGTAAGACTCCATCTCAAAAAAAAAAAATTATAGTAAAAGACACATTGCCATTAATCTTCCTCAGAATGTGCCCTCTTTCTTTAAATCCACTTATCAAGCATTCCTGACACTTTCTGAAGCAGATCAGGAAAGCCTCTTTCATGCCATTCTCCATCATGACACTGCTCCACGTTACACATCTCCTCGGTTATGGAAAGCTCTTTCCAATAGAAGACATTACAGTGTGTCCTCATCCACCTTATTCATCAGATCTGGCTGTTCCCCAAAGTCAAAATGTATTTGAAAGGTAAATGTTGTGAATCGATTCAGGACATTGAGGCAGCCATGATAAGGCAACTAAAAATGTCCAGGAAAGAGAACTTCAGACTGGTTGGATGAGTCAGTAGCCTATTAGTCGATGAACACTATGTTGGTGCACTGAGAATGCTTTAGTGTGCCTCGGAGTATTTCTTCTATGTTCTTAAAATATGTCCCCCAAAGTAAATGAACTCTCTGTATGATGTTTAATTTAGTTAGTGAATCAAGAATCAAGGCCAGGAGACCAGAACATTTTATTTTAGATATCACTGAGGTTATTACACAGTCATGATTCAGATTTAAGTATGTAAGACACTCATTTTTCTTTTAAGGAAAAAAAAAATCAGTGGTAGGTTGTAGCTCAGTGGTAGAATACTAGCTTAGCATGCGCGAGGCCATGGGTTCAATCTCCAGGACTACAAAAAAGAAAGGAAGGAAAGAAGGAGAGAAAGAAAAAAGGGAGGGAAGAAGGGAGAAGAAGAAGAAGTGAGAGAATGATGGAGGGAGGCAAAGAAATGAAGGAGAATTTTCAGGGAAACATTTTGTAGTTTGCCATCATGGGTAAGGGTTGTTTTGGACCGGGGATTTAGCTCAGTGTTTCCACCCCCTGCCTCGCAAATGCAAGGCCCAGAGTTCAATCCCAGGTACAAAAAAAAAAAGTAGGATGTGTAAGCGTTGTTTAAAAAGAAAATCTCTACAACCAGAGGCTTAGATCACCATTTGTGGACCTGATATGCATGCCTGGAAAAACAAATCATTTGAAAGTTTATTATCTCCAAACGAATACTTATGTTACTTCAATTACTAATGTCTGAGCCAAAAGATTTAAAAGAAACTAAGTCATTCACTGCTTTCAAGTTATTTGCCACTCCATTTCCTTATTTTGTGGGAAAAAGTGAACATTCCTAAAACTTTTTGGTTTATCTTATGTGCCTGCACTGTGAATGCATCATATTTTTGGGGTTTTTTTTTTTCCAGTTTCAACGAAGGATTTTATTTACTGATGCCCAAAAGCAAAATCCAGAAAATAGCAACCCACTGCAAGAATATTCTATAACATTCTCAGTCCTCTTTTCACGAGGTGTGCCCTCCCATGCACTTATCTTCAGAGAGCAGGCTGACACACGGCAATACTTGGTGAAAGGCACATGGCGCCTATGCTCATGCCTTCAGGTGCATCTCCCGGGCAGGAAAGGAAGCCTTTTCTGCAGCCTTCCCCCTTTCACAGAAATTTATCACAAAAATTTTTTATAGCAAAATATACCCCCCCAACTTTAGTTATCTACTACAAAGATGTGGAATTGAAAAGTTCTCTTCTCCCGCTTTCATCAAAAGACTGAATGTTAAAGAATATCTGAATTACTCTGAGATCCTGGACGGCATACGTAGGTATTTACAGAGGAAGGCGAATTTCAAGTTCTGCTGCTCTCCAAAATGGGAACTGAAGAGAAGATTTGAATAAGACAGCTACAAAAATTGATAATCATTCCATGCTGGAACAAGGCAAGCTTCCTCAACCATCAATAAATACTATTTTGTTGATTATAAACCCTGCAGAGATCCAACAAGATTTGAGTTTCAAATACAGAATAAATTTAAAAGAGAGCTAGCCAGCAGCAGAGTGATGAGATGAATGAATAGGACAGTGCTGGTGAAGGCACAGAGTAAAGAATCCCAAGAAAATTTTAGTGCCACTTCCATTTAATAAGCCAATAGTATAGTATAGCAACCTAAAGGCCTTGGCTGTTTTCACACCAGGATGTTCTTACTGAACTGCTGCAGGAAAACATGTTTGGCAGCTGGCATCCTCTGGCTCACTATGTTGAGCAAGTCTCAGATCTAAAGCTGTGGAGTGTAGCAGAGGTATTTCTTGCCAGATGGGAGTTCTTTGGTGAAGACTCCTTTAGGGAAAAGTTTTTTGGCTTCCTCCTCAGGGATGGTTGGAAGGACCATCACACTATCTCCATCCTTCCAACCAACAGGGGTGGCAACCCTCTTTTCTTCTGTCAGCTGGAGAGAGATAACTACCCTGAGAATTTCATCGCAGTTTCTGCCAGTGGTAGCTGGATAGAGGATGGACAGTTCCAGTTTCTTGTCAGGACCAAACACAGATAGCACACGAGCTGTCACAGGCACGCCCTTTTCATCCTTCTCTGCTGGGTCCAGCACGCCCAAGAGGATGGCAAGGTCCCAATTTTTATCATCAATGATGGGAAAAGGTAACTTTTCTGTGGGTTCATTACCATTGTAAGCACTGATATCCTTACTCCAGGCAAGATGGTCCTCAACACTGTCTACTGACAGGGCAATCAACTTAACATTCCTCTTGGCAAACTCTGGTGCCAGCTTTGCTGCTCTGCCAAGCTCTGTGGTGCACACAGGGGTGAAGTCCCATGGGTGGGAGAAGAGGATGCCCCATGAGTCTCCCAGAAAGTCGTGGAAACAGATGCAGCCAACCATGGTGCTGGCCTTGAAGTTGGGAGCCTCGCTGTCGCTGAGAAGAAGCCCTCTGGGTGTGGCAGCAGCTGTGAGGTGGGGGCAGAGGAGGTGAGGTGCAGCCGCAGCAGCAACTTGCATCATATTTTTGGTTGAGGGTATAAAAGGATTTAAAAAATTCATACAAATGATGCTTACCCTTGGCACTAATGACATTTTAAGTCAGATATTCCTTATCACCTTGGGGGGGGGTGAGGGGCTTGTTCTCTTGTTACAGAACTTTTAGCAAAATTTTTTTCTGTACCCACTAGATTCCAGTTATACCCACATACCAATTTACAAACATAACTGCTTCCAGACACTGTCAGATATCCTTGGAAGGCCAAATCCTCCTCAGACTGAGAAGCACTGGTACGCTGAAACAAAGCTCTCACTGTATAACACACAGAATTAAGGAATAGAAGTGGACTCGAACTAATACTGTAAGGTGGTTTAATAGTTAAGCTTTGGAACTGAAATGAACTGATTTGTGTTATTCTGTATTTTTTTAGTGGTACATTATTTCATAAGACTTTCCATGGAAAGTCATCATTTAGCAATGAAGCAATCTTCCACGAAGGGCTCTTTCTCTACTCCTCATGCTGCCAATAACAACAACAAGAAGACTGTATTATTAACTATTTTTTAACCACAGGTCAAATTCAGAGCAGAGTTAATGGGAGTTGCATCTCAGAATGGAAAATAAAGTCAAGTTTTCCTCACTGGAACCAAATATCCCAAGCACACAATTTAAAGTAAGGGTTTAAAGACTTTTTTATTAGCACTTGCTTGCAATCAATGGGTTATATTTATCTTTGGGGGAGGAAGGGTTTATTCTTCCTCATAGCTGACTCCAAGGCAGGAATGTCATCATGGAAAGGTGTAGTGGGGCAAAGCTGCTTATTTCATGGTGGCAAGGAAGAGAATCAGGGACAGATCCCCTCCAGAGATGTGTCCAGTGACCCACATCCAACGGGGCCTCACCACCTAACTGCCGTTTTGGCTAAGAACAACAGTAGATTGATCCAGTGGTAGGTATAGTGTCACCGTGATCTGATCCGTCTCATAATCCAATCACACTGATAATTAAGCTTACCTGTCACAGATACTATCTTAGGAAGCCAATGAATTAGGTAGGTCACCATCAAATCTCCCATAATACTTTTGTTTCTTGATAAATCACACTGTCTACTTTTCCTGAGGATCACATAATGTTATTTATTTACCATTCCCTCTACAGATCAGTGGCTGGCACAAGGTGAGTAGATGCTTGAAAACGGGATGAATAGGTCAAATGCATTTGCTGATCTTACAGATAAGAAGTTGCATGTTTTTCAACGTCTTTGGGTTTTCCCTCTTCCTCCCCTTTCCTATGTTTTCGTCATTGACTTCTTCCTACATTGATTTCTTTCTTTTTCTTTTTATTGAGTTTATTTGTATATCCTAGGTATACAGTACAGTTACATTCATGACTGGGATCTTGTACCTTTATATGCCAGGTCTTCGCCTACATTGATTTCTTTACACATGTCCTGTTCCACCACTCACTCAAAGCATGGCCAAGACTTTGTTGCTTTGATTTCTATAAACATGAGAAAATCTCAGAACCAATATGCTACAAGGAGTTTCAACATAGGACAGTGAGAAATACCAGTGAGAAACAAAATTATATCATCTCATTACCCAATATGGCTATCACGAAACTATTACTGCTCAAAGTGATCAGGCAGATTTGAAAAAACTATTTACTTTTAATTGATATTTACGTTAGAATACTTACAAATTTGCTTCTCATCTTAAATTAATTTTAATGTAGTCTATAACTATCAGACATGGATCAATTTTCTGTAGAACTTAATTATTTTTCAAAATTACCAATTTTTTTAATTGACTAGCTGTTCTCAAAAGAGGGGGCCCTGTAAATTATAAAATACTGCATTACTTAAACAAAGGGCAGGGACTTTGGCATTGGACAGAATTGGATGCTAATTATCACTCTGACTCTTGTAAACACTGAGGATTCAATCATGGTATTAAACCTACTGAGGTTCAGTGTCATTATCTTTAAAATAGGCCAATGATGAAGAGAATAGGAAAACACCCTAAATATTGCCTAGGAGGGTATTTGCGTAATGAAGGTAGCTATAAGTCAATCATAGTAAGTTGAGTACGGCGAATGGAATCGCGGAGGTGATGGTGGTGCTAAGAGACACAGCTTTGCAAAGTCACAGTCTCCCTGGTAATTTGCTAACTCCCTTTGCTGAGTCAGGCTGCAACAGCATCTCTCTGTATCTCCTCTGTCACATGTCAGCGTTCTGTTGATTGTCAGCTAATCCTCGCTAAGTAACCAACTGTGGCTCCCAAGGAATATTTATATTTTAATAGAGGAACTCTCGATGTCAGGTATAGGCTTAAGGGTTTGAATGAAAAATAAAACTAAAATGATAGTACTCTACCTCTTTGTCTATATTGTCCTAATGATTTGTTCTCTGCACTTCAGGATCTCCAAAGTAGTTATAGTAGTTAGTCTTTGCTGCATACCAAATTTTCCCCAAGTTAAAAAGGGTAAGGGTGTACTATTTCCATAATTTTACTGTCAGACTTTGGTTCTTCTTTTCAGATCATGTAAGCTAGAGTTATTTGTGTAGCTGACAGCAACTTGGAATGTGGCTGAGGCTGGAACATCCCAAAAGACATTATTTAAGTACTTGGTACCTTAACCGAGGAGTGTGGAATGGCTGAGAGTTGTCTAAGATATGTATGTAGAGTTCTGTCTCTCTGTCTGTCATTGTTCTTTTAAATCTTGCTGCTTTACATAATAGTGGGATCCCGAGAGGACAAATATCAGTGGTCCATCAGTCCTCTGACTGCCTAGAAAGGGGGACAGCGAGGGCAAAAGACAATGGAGATGCGTAATTTCAAAGTATATGGGGGGCCAGGAGGTCAGTGCCTCAGGGCAGACAAAGACACTCTGACCTGGCCACTCTTCAGTGGGTTCATGGGAAGTATCAGATGCCTCAGAGGACAACGGTGACCCTATGATGAGGTGGCTGTTATGCTGTTGAGGATCTTAGGTCCATGAGGAGCTTATGTTCGTAAGGACAAGGACAGTGAGATGAGCAAAACGTTCCTACAACAGTAGGAAGGATGAGATAAGTTGACAAGGAATTTGTCCCTCCCCAGGTGAAAACTGTTCTCTTTTTGTATTACTACTTGGTTCTCAAAGAACCAGGTTATCTTCAGCTGATGCAATCTTGCCCCTGAGCATCACAACATCATGGGACTATTAAGGCCTCAGAAAGCCCTAATCGTAAGTTAACTGAGAAATGAGTTTTTCCCAAAAATTATGTAGAATGGCTTCCGAAAGACAAATACGGAAACTGTATATGTTCAGAAATCACATACCATTCTGCCAATTTCCTTTTTAAAGAAAATATTTTAATTAGTGCCTATTAATTTTATAAAATGTTGTGTTTCTATGTGTACAATATAATTTGATCAGATCTGTCGTCCATCATTCTCTCTTATACCTCCCTCTCTCCCCTCTTTATTTTTCCCTTCTTGTTGTCTAATAATAGTTTTCCTCCTACCTTCATGTCATCTTGTTTAGATTCCACATACTAAGGAGAAAATCTGATACTTATCTTTCCTAGTCTGGCTTATTTCACTCAACATAGAGATCTCTGATTCTATTCGCTTTACTGTGATGTAAAACTTTTTCTTTATGGCTGAATAGTACTCCATAGCATATCTATATCGTATTTTCTTTACTCAATCATCTATTGACAGGCACTGAGGCTGGTTCTGTATCTTTGCTTTGTTATTTTCTAATAGTCAAAGAACGTCACAAGACCAGCCCAAACTCAAGGAGAGAGAAAACAATCTTGACCTACTTAGAGGAAAAAAGGCAAGTCCAAATGTGAACATGAAGATTAGTAATGAAACTTGTGCAATTTCACCGAAATTATTTTTTCCTTTTGTCTTTCCTTTTTTCCCCTATTTTTTCTCTCAAGGTCGGCAGAATTATTAGTTTCTTAGGTTAGCGGGTGAGTGGTTGTCATCATTCTCTTTCATGCGGGATATTTAGTGCAAAGACAGATTGTTAACAGCATGCAGACCTCCCAGTGCCAGCTGGGGATACCTGTTCCCATGTGCATGACGCTAAACAAGATCCATCAGTCCCTTACTTCAGTCTTTTCATTTGTTAACTAAATGAGGGGGAGAGCTTGCTTAATATGACATTTATTTCATTATTTTTATTTGTTTGTTGTTTGTTTGTTTGTTTGTTTGTTTTGGTACCGGAGATCGAACTCAGCATCTTGCACTTGTGAGGCAGGTGGCAGAACCACTGAGCCAAATCCCTGCCTCATTATTGTTTATGCATTGTGATTAACTGAAACTTAACAGGCGCTCGATAAATGTTACTTTATTTATTTTCCATGCTTCTACTCCTCTCTGTGATTTTTTTATCCCATTACCTTTTTCTAGAAGAAACAGTGTTTTTTAACCTGTAGACACTGCATATAATCAATCATATTTTTCCTACGCCTACTGATAGTGTTCAAGAATGCTTCAGGATTTATTGACCATTTTAACAATTACGGTTCTCTTGTGGGGCCAGCACTCCAAACATCCCTGTTTCCCGTGCTATTGCTACCCCAAACCTTGGTTAATACTTTCCTCTTGCCAAATAATCCATTTTCCTACTATTAGATTCGTGTGGTATCCTTTGTCTTATTTTTACAACCTTATGCATTGATTGTGCATGCTCCTAAGTTCTCTCCATCACTTTGGTACTTCGTGATGACAGTGGGGTAAGGCCTTTCTCTCCAAGTATTCACTCCAAATTTCACTCACTCTAAAGAGAACTACACCATTGGCAACTTCTCAGTGACCGAATGTTGAATTGAATTCTTCCCCCAAATAACTAATGAGACATTAAAAAGTTTGGTTTTAGCATCACATCATCCATGAAACATTGCAGAGTTACTCAATGTCTTGGTAAATTCTGTGGAAAAAAATAGAACTAGAAAGTAATAGCTATGATTAGGGACAATTGAGTGATTGTAATTTTTGAAAAGACAAAATTGAAGAAAATACAT